TAAATAAAATAAATAAAATAAATAAAATAAATAAAATAAATAAAATAAATAAAATAAATAAAATAAATAAAATAAAATAATAATAAAATAATAATAAAATAAAATAAAAAATAATAATAAAATAAAATAATACAAGAAATCCTAGATCCTTTTAAAGGTGGTTGACTCTGTGCAGCCACTTCTCCAGGCGGCTTAAACAGTTGAAGGCTTTGAGGTGTTGATGGGCAAACTCAGGAACTCATCAAAGGTCCACTTAGGGCCACAATGTTCTGCGAGGCGGTCGTAAAGTGAGCCACCCAGCCCAGACTTCCAGGTGCTTCGGATCATCCCTTGATGTCTGTCTCTCTTGGCCCAACAGATGCAGACGCTGGAGACTCTGGTGGGCAGGAGCCCCGACCAGCCTCCCCAGGGAGAGGAAGAGGCCAGCGAATATTTCCGAAAACTGGTTAATGGAGACTTCCTGCAACAGGTTATGCAAATGATGTGAGTCAGGCTTTTTTGTCGGCTTAACACACAACACAACAGCAGCAAATCCTGGTCTGTGTGTGTTTGTGTGGTTGAACCCTGGTAGTTTCAGGATCAGGGCAAGCATAGGAAAGAAATGGCTCAGAGTTCTCAACCGTTTCCGTCCCTTGTGCAGAATTTCCATGCCAAAAAGGAAAAAAATATATAACACAATTGAAAGAAATCACACAGAGATCCACAATTCTCTTTTTTTAAAAAGACCGAACAAAACCAGATATTTTCCCTACTTGGAAAAGACGATAAAGGGTACTAGGGAGTGGCCAGGAGGGGTGGGGAAAATGGTCTTTTTTATTTTAAAAGTAAAAATAAAAATTAGAAAAGCATCTTTGGAGGCTGGCTGGCTGCAGGGTGCGCCCAGTTCGTCCTTTCAGTCTTTTAACGCATTTGCAGAAATTGTGGCTTTTCTGCAGAACTGGCAAGTTTGTTTGTTATAACACCCAGTAGAAAAAATAGCCTCATTCAAGGTGGGCAATTCACAGATGTTTAGCAATTTAAAGAGCAATTTGCAGATTTTTTCCCCCCTTCCATTTCAAAGAGAGAACACAAATGTCTACATTGAATTTGTGACATGCTGGCTGGGGGATTCTGGGGAGTTGAAGTCCACCCATCTTAAAGCATGCTGGCTGGGGGATTCTGGGAGTTGAAGTCCATCCACCTTCACGCATACTAGCTGGGGAACTGGGCGTTCAAATCCACCTATCTTCAAGCATGCTGGCTGGGGGATTCTGGGAGTTGAAGTCCACTCATCTTCAAACATGCTGGCTGGGGGATTCTGGGAGTTGAAGTCCACTCATCTTCATGCATGCTGGTGGGGGATTCTGGGAGTTGAAGTCCACCCATCTTCAAACATGCTGGCTGGGGGATTCTGGGAGTTGAAGTCCACCCATCTTCAAGCATGCTGGTGGGGGATTCTGGGAGTTGAAGTCCACCCATCTTCAAACATGCTGGCTAGGGAATTGT